TGTATATTTTGCTTGAATTTTAGAAAATAGGTTTTTATAGGCTTAATATCGTCGATTTTGTTGTAGTTTTTAATATTTTTCTTTAATTTAGTAGTTTAACCTTTTTATCTGATAATCCGTATTTGCGATATTATTTGGAAAGGCCTTCTTGTTTAAGCCTATTTTATAAGAATAGCTCGAGGTTAATTCTCATAGCGCTTCAAGGTTTCAAAAATGCTTATTATGATTTTTAACTTTTATAACTATTTTTTTACCTTCTCAGCTAGTATCATTTCACGGGCTAGCAACCGGATTATACATCACTTTCGCCGCCCGCCCTGCTTGGTAGTCCTGTCGAAAGGAAGGTGTCGCGGGTTCGAGACCGAACACAAACAATAGACGGAGAGCGATGCACAGAAGAGTCCTCTCCCCGGGGCGAGCACACACACATACATACACCCCACATACACACACACATGTCCTACAAAAACTATTTACCACCACCACCACGAGCAGCTCTCCCTCCCTGAACGTTCCCCCCATCAAACGAAATTCATAATATAGCCCCGATACGGCATCGGAAAAAATTATGCTCGCCTGGCAGGCCATGATTTTTAGAAATCGATTTTATTGCTGGGTGTTTGGTACGATTTTGTAATTTATTGGCGGCCTACATGATTCAAATTTGGACGAGGTTTATGGCATTGTTAAAACCAGTTTTGGCGTTAGATTTTGGTTTTTTGACGGTTTTCTGAGTGTCATCTGGGTTTTTTGACATTGCTTTATGCGCGCTTCTCATTAATGCATATATTTTGTTGGATTTTTATATTAGAAATCACTCTGATATTATCTAAATTTGTTTTTAGGTTATTTTTGTATAGCTCAAATTTTATCAACGAAGATGCGCTAGTTGAATGCTTTTTTAGTTTTTCTTGTTGTCTTAAAGATCGGGTTTTTTTGTTTCTGTTATCAAAATTTATAACGTTTTTACATTGCGGAATATTAAAAACAGTTTAGATTTTTTTACTTCTGCTATTTATATTTTTATGTAGCGAAATATCCGTTTTTGTTGAATTTTTTCGTCGATCCGAATCCGACGCTTGCTTTAATACTGTAACCACGACCGTAATCCCATCCCTAATTCCCAAAACCCCACTTAAAAGTCGGCCACCTCTGAACCCACCATCCCCCAAAAACCCTGGGAAATGCAACGCAACCCCAAAAAAAAACAGCGACACCCATTCGCGGCGCTCCCTTTGCTCCTTTTTGCACCCGACCGTACGGACGGGATGGCTGACGAGGAGCCGAAGAGCCGAGGGGCGAAATAGCGCATAAAGGGATGAGGACCGAGACAGCCCGAAGATGTGCCCTCGGGGCATGTGAACATGGGGGGGGGATTACTCAGTAGAATGAATGTGCTGCCCGCCGACCCTCCATTATGGTGCTCGCGGCGCTACCATGGCTTAATTATGAATTCAGTTTATTGACCGCGGCGGGGCTTGGCTAGATTTTTCGCTGTTTCGAAGCATTTTCTAAGGTTTTGTAGAAATTGTAAATTTTTAGCGTGTTTTGAAGGCTTTTTGACCATTGAGAAAGCAATAAATGAAGTAGACTTGTTCGTAAACCCTAGTTTTGAGGAGCTTTCTTGTAGAATTTACCGCCTTGTAACCTATTTTTCCAAACCCTATTGACTCTTCTAAACGTTAATAGCTTCATTGGATTAAAATACCTTTTCCCCCTAGAGGGATTTTCGCTACAAATTTCGCGTTTCTAAAAATTAAAATCAAATTCACAAATCCCGAAATTTTTCAAACGACTTATTTTAAATTTTGCAACACCTTATAACCTAATTAAGCCAGTTTCCACCCCCAATTTCCTGCCTACATGATTCTTATAAATTATGATACCCAAAAATACCCTCTCACTGACGCGCTGCCCCAAAGATTCGACAGGAAATTGGACAGTTTCGGGCTCTCTCCCAGACTACGCGAACCCCCGGAAAAAACGAACGGTCTGACCCAAATCGCTGTTTTGCCGGGGAACGGCGTGGCCTTGAAACATTCGACTATTGGTTTGGGATGTAGATTTTGGATGGAATGATATGCTAATTTAGATTTAAACCAAAAAAACTACAATAATTTACGCTTCTCAACAATTTTTTTCAATATTTCTCCCAATTCAGGGTTACGGTACTCATCACCGCATCATAGTAATCTTCCAAATACACCTAATTTATCGCCACCCCCATTTTTTCCAATAAATCTCCCACCTCGTCCGGGTTACGGTCCCATTACCGCATCCACCTAATAGCCTGCCCAACCATTCTCCCAAAATTGAGAAGAACCCAAGGAGCACCAGCAGCAGCTACGTGTCGCCGGCAATGAATCACATTTTTTGCGGACGGCCGCCCCGGGGCCCCACGAAATGTGAGGCGAGCCCGAGCCCCTCATCTTCCAGATGCTCAAGCTTTTCCCCCCGCTGCTCCCATCCCCAAGGGCATATTTCACGGCGTCGCCCCCGGTTTTAAATTGGCTCATTTCCAGGGCGGTGGGCCCCTCGGCTTTTATAAATAACGTTTTTGATCTTGGTTTTTGGGATAATTCTATGGGGGCTACGGTAGGTAGGTGGTACGCGGTTTAAAAAATCTTGATTGTGGGGTCTTTTAAAGGGTTATTGAAGCCGAAATCTAAGCTTCAGATCGGCTTTAGCTGGCTAAAAATTCCCCAAAAAAAAAAGTCGACGCCCGACTTCACAGTTCAACCCCTAAAAAGCTAAAGCCCCCTCCGAAAACCTCATTCTACGCGTTCTCATTTCCCAACCCCGCAAATCCATTCGACAACATTTCCAAACGGAAATCACCCCCCTTTCCCGCTAATCTCGTGGGAGAATAATTTGCGGCCCCCCTAACATATTTGTAAGGCCTCCTCACCCTCCGATATCCCACTTGTTTTCTAGAGTTTCCAATTCAGCACCACCTTTTTTACCCCCCCCCACCCACCGCGTCGACCGCTAATTAAATTGGAATTTTTGAGGGCCGAGTAGCGAGCCCGGGGCCTGGAGTGCAAGTTGCCAATTTGACGTGCCGAGATTCCGAATTCCCTCCGGGACCCTTTTGGATTATCGCCTGCGGATTTTCGTCAACTTAACATCGGCTTGTCGCGCATTAGGCTTTTCAATTTCCTCCGGATCGCCACCCAGTTTCTGATTTCGTATTCATTCTGAATGTCGGGGGACCGTCTATATCTAGCTGTTTAGTAATAAATAATGTGTTTTTTAAACTTGTTTTTTTGTAGTTTTCGATTGCTAGAAAGTTACAAAATTTAAACTTAATTGAAATTCGTCTATTTTTATTGGCTAAAGTTAGTTCCTCCCCCCGCTAACAGTCCAGTACCGATATTCTAACCTATTCACTCCAAACATGCAAATTGTTATTTTTCAGCTTTTCCACCTTTTTGCACTAATTTCCTAGCTTCACTATAGCCACGGCAGGAGAGAGATCCCATAAATATTGTCGTGTCCACCTCCGGAATTAGCCCATTTTTGTGTGTGGGGGCCCGAAAAGGGGTGGGGCGTGGCGGCGGTAGAAGTTCTGAGGCGGAGGTATTGAGCAGGGGGCTCTCTAATTATTTTGTTACGTACCCGGGGGGAGAATTTCGTGAGGGCATGTTTTTGTACAAGAAAAATTGTATGGATTAGGTTTTAGAGGGGCTGTGAAGTGATGGGAGCTACTACCTCTCTCTCTCTTTTTCTCTCTCTCGCTCTCTCTATCTCTCTCTCTCGATTTCTCACTCATTAATGTGCGCTCTAAATCATATGCCAAAACTGTTTACAACACCTTTGAAATAACCTGGCGCTCAGCCAATTCCCGAGCCAATTCTCACGCATTCCCATGATTAGCCCTGCAAATCGAGCCTCCCCTTCTTCTCCCCCTACAATTCCCTTAAAATTCTGAAAAACGCCTCGCCGTCTCGTCACGTTACTAGGCGGCCCTCGGCCACAAAAAGGGTTCGGCCGAATTTTTTTTTGTTTGGAGCGGCCAGCAGCCCGGGGGGCCGGCCGGAAGGGGAAATACGTTCCAAAAATCATAAGCCGAAGGGGGAGGCCCGTCTCTAATGACCGCCTATAGAAATGAAAGGTCCCTGGAGGGGGCCCATAGGGGTTGTATGGCCATTTCGCATTGTTCCACACGTTTTTTGGGGGTTTGAGAGTTGGGTTTTTTTGGTTCTAGATTTTTTTAAATAGTTCTTTATGAAACATTTCCTTTTAAAGAATTTTTTAAGTGAAATTTTAAGTGCTGGGTCAATTAAACTGCTTTGCCATTTTTCTGGCTGCCAAGTTCCTTTAAAAAGTTGAATCCATTTAATCATTTAGCCAAAAACTCATAAGCCCTTTCAAACATCTCTACAGTAATCCCACAGACCCCCAAAACCACGATCTATCACGGCTAATTGGGCCCTATTTTACTTCGACCCTTCCTAGCCGCTACCCTGCCATTACCGTATATTTGGCAATTCGGAAATTCGGCCCCTTCAGCAGCCGCCCCGGAAATTATGTCCACAGCTACGTTCCGCTCCCCAAAATTCCGCTCGTATTTGAGTGAATTGTTCCCAAAAAATGCCTGAGATTCAGAATTAATCTGTGCCCAATTCCTGATTCTCGAATGTATTGTTTTTGCAAGCCATGTAGGGGCTGGGCCGTCACATTTGCACAGGGTCCAGGTGGTCCCACGGGGCCGTTCTCGCTACTACCTCACGGATTATACGGCCAATTTGGCCGGAATTTTGGCATTATCTTGGGTGTATTTAGTGTTCGTGGGGTTTCTTTGGAATTGATTTCAATTTTAGGGCTTCACTCGCATTTCATTCTTTTATTTCTATATATTAAATCTATTTATATATTTTCCGCCTATATATTTCTATATTTCTTCATTCCTTTTCATTAATGTGTTCTCTATATCTCCATAACTTTTTTAAATCCAGTTTTCCAGCTTAAAACCACTTCTGCTACTACAAACATCAAAAATGACCCCGGCCGCCGAAATCGAAAAACCCGAGTCCGAGATCAAGGCCAGCACCTCCCATCCAGCCATCAGCCACGATCTGTTTAAGGTACGGTAGTTTCCGGGATTCCTGTCTTGGCTTCTCCAGGCTTCAAAGACCCCCGATTAATCTAATGCAAATCCTAAACAATAGCTTCAGGGGCTGACCGCCGCCTCGGCCCCGAATTCCCCGGCCACTAATGGCATTCCCGCGCAGCCACAACGCCGTATGCCCACACGGATTGAGCAGTTGAAGGTGAGGAATTAAATTCTATGTGGGAAATTGGGTTATTACTGTCGTTTCTCATAATTTTGCTCTATAACTATAATAGATAAAGAAAATAATAGGTTATGAATCTTAGCTTTTTTGGGCCGATCAAAATACCGAAATGTAAAGCAAAAACTGACAAATTTTAATGAATTTCACTTTAAATTCCATATAATATTGAATTTGCGATTAATGCGTGGATTTAAAGGTAATTTAAAGGCTTATATAGTCTCCTAGATACAGCTAATTTTCTAGTTTACTCAACCCCCTCCAAAGATCATAGCCGTATAGCAACCTCCTCCAAAAATGGCCTTTCCTCAAGCACGCTCCCCCCACAATTTCCCCTTAATGACCATTCGAACTCTGGCGAATACATGGGATCAATGGGTCTAATTAGTTGCCAACCCCCCTTCGGAAATCCCTGCCTCTAAAAAAAACGTTGAACAGCAACACAGGTGTTTTAAGGTAAAAAAGCATTTGCTGATTTTTTTACAAATTAAATACAAATTTTCTAGCTTCGCTACCTAAAACGCCGTGCCCTGAAGCCGTACAACCGTACCCCACTGCCGTCCATTTCTTGCCTATTGCCGATCCGCGAGAATTATGTGAGTTTAAGAGTAATTAGAGTAAAAAGCTAGGCTTCCAGAAAAGAGTTAGCGTAGTTTTTATTTAACGCTACCCTACTTTACATCCTAATTTAGACCCCTCCGGAAACGATCTCCCCTGTCGGGCTTGACGCCTGCGCGTTTGGACCGGATGCGTGGTGCTGCGACGAGTTCTACGACTGGACCGACGTATACGTCCCGTCGTTCTGCAACTGGCCCCAGCAACCGGCCGGTAAGAGTTTTTTGGAATTGTTTATAAACCTTAAATACGCGATTTTACAATGCTAGTCGAAGTAGATGGAGAGGTAGAAAGATCGAGACTAGAAAAAGATTTAAAAATATACAAAATAATGCTATAATGACCATTTTAGACACGGCCGTCCCCTGCTATGCCCAGGCCGCCCAACAACCCCCGGTCAACTACAACTACAACTACAACCCCGCGCTCCTATCGACACCCCCGGAAACTGGCAAGCCCTATCAGGCATGCAACGTTGGACAAGCCGTCTAATTACCTTAAGTTCACATTTTGAGACCGTAGCCCCAGGATTCCCTAGCATTCCATAGCTTTGAATTGACCCTCAGGTCAAGCGACCCACAGTATCCTCTAACCCAAAAATTATTTCCCGGTCCCTTACAAACAGCTTTAACTTTGCAAATCTGGCACTTTTAGCGAGCCCTTTAAAACCCACCCCCATTCTGGAATTGACATCTCCTTTGCATATCCGTTTTGTCGGTCAACAATTTCCAAGCTTGATCTCCCCCTCCCACCATTGTCAATTCATTTTTACCTTTATTTTTTGTTTAATCCAAGTATTCCCACTTTTGCGTGTTCATTCGTGACATTTAACTACGGTAACTCCCCCGAAACCACTTTTTTTTGACTACTTTATTTTTACTACGGTACCCCCCCCAGCAAACCCAGGCGCCACGGGTCGCTCGCATCAATTCCAATGTGTGTTCCCCAGGCCCGCTACAGTACCCTTTGAGGCGTACGGTAGATATATTACGACCAAATACACTGAATTTACTTTACTTTACTTGAATTTTTTACCTGCTTACAAACCCCGCTTGGCCCCCCAAGCGCGCAATTGATTCTTCTTGCCATTCCCACGACATTCTGGTTGCCAATTTCCTTCGTCTATTTCTTACATCTTAATTCCCCAATTTTTCATCCTCACTCAACTATACGTGTTTTTCGAAAATAAGAATTCCTGCTTCCCCCGACCGCTACCACCCCTCCAAACGGCTTCTCCTGTGAAATATGTGCGGTGTTTTTTAAATAAACTTTTTTGGGAAATCCGGAACACGAAAATGCATTCCTACGGATTGAGAGATTGTTTTTACCACCACAGGACTTGTAAAGCAAGAAAAGCTATTCAAAATTCTGGACGATCAACGTCAACGATCAACCCCAACTTGCTACAATATTCCTTGAGGCATACTGTAACCCGTGCTTACACTATTCAATTATACTAATTTTACAACGTACATTTGCCAGTTTTTTTTTTTTGGAAAAACTCGACTATTCACCAAAATGCACTCCTACAGCTTCAAAGATTGTTTTTAGCAACCCAATACTCGTAACATAAGAAATCCGATTGCAAATGCAGCACAGTCGGCAGGTGACAACAGTGAAAACCGGAAATTAGGTCCAAACTGATACAACGCAACGGGTGAATATGGAAATGGCCAAAAACGCACCTGGAGCGTAGATGGCTTGGCCTTGCGCCACCTGGCGAGCGAATGCCTCGTGGAAATTGCGACGGGCATAATCGGAGAGGCCTGGAAAGTAGTATTATAAGTAGTACAGGGGAACCTTTCAAGGTATCGGTGGGATTTTAAACGAGTCTAATCTACCTCGTGCAGAATTTTTCGCCAATTCCAAAGCTGTTTTGCAAAACCCCCGGGTAGTTTAAAGCTTCTAGCTTTAGAAAATCCTGACGAGAGGAGGAGATATCGACATTTTGCATAATGTAGGTGTCAAAAGTTATAAACTACGGGGAAAAAGCTAGGAAAGCACGACTGCAAAAAATAAAATCATCACCCAGAGAAATTAGAACTACAGGAAATTCAGTTGCAAAAAATTCAAATTTGCAGCATCCCGAAAATCGAAAACTGGCAAACGAGCTTCTTCAGATAAGTTTCGAATAATTCAGATAAGCTTATGCAAACCCCAAAATCCATTATTTAGATAGCAAAATGATACTCAATTAACGACAGTTATGATTAAAATATTTCCTATCAACTGTAAATCCTAAATAAAGCTAGACACTCACTTGCTCGTTCTTCTCTCGGGACTGGCACTCCGAATTCCGGGTGGATCATGGCCATATCTGAATGAAATCGGAAATATGTTTTTTAGCTTCAAAACGATGAATTTGTTAAGCGTGTAACATATATACATTAGAACGGAATCTAATGACTAAACCTACTTGGCACGGTCGGGCAACCCGATGACGACCAGACGAGCATTTCCGGGCGTATCCGCCTGCGGTTTCGGCCTGGATATCGTGTGCAGCAACCGGCACCTAGCAAATAAAGTTATTCTTACAAGCTACTATGCGACATCGAGGTGACCAGGTAATTAAATCACTAAAATGATGTGCAAAACGATTAATCTTCCATTTTGCTCGCTCCAAAAACGAAAAGATACTCTAAAAACTCCATTTAGCGTTAGTATCCAAGCTACTCTACCGTAATCACCTAAAATTAAAAATTGACAACCACCTCTTATCGCAAACTGCAAAAAGCACACCAACACGATGATAAAAATGCAAATTGGAGTGAAGAAAGCGAACAAATCCGCTTCTGGCATCTAAAATGGCATTGTTACATTACAATCCAACAACCAATTCCCGGATACTATAAAATAGATAAAAAACCAAAAAGATATGCGAACTGCCGGGGAGCGTTTATTGGAGAGCGCGATACCTCTTGACCGGCTTATGCAAATTATCCTGGATCGTCACAGCGTCGGGGCACCGGAATTATCACTGTTTTCCCAGGTTGCCACGCGCGATTGTTGGAGGATGATCAATGAAGGTCTAAGCCGACGAAAAATGTAGCGACGCAACGTCCTACCGTTCTTTTGGTAGTTTGTATACTGTATTTTCCAATTTGGTGTAGCTCAGGCAAAATGGTCCTTGAGCATTATCGGGGGGTGCTGGTCATTAGGTAAAAACAAACTTTTGGCAGCCAATTTTGTAAGGAAATGTTATTGCACTGGTTTTAAACGGTACAACAGTACAAAGTACATAAATTATATAGATTTTTTCGAACAAATATCACCGATTTTCAAAAAAATTTTTAATTTCGAAATTTTTTGAATGTTAGATAATTTTTTCACTGGAAATATGGCAAAATTTTACTGAAGAATTAATAAATCACCCCGTGGTACTGAATATGGGGTGTAGTAATTATTAAATTCAGAAAAAAATTGCATCAGCTCCCTGGTAATGGAAAAGCACGGGAAACTTAAAAACTTTAATTTATTCAATTTTGATTTCTTTCAAGAGGTCATTGAGAGGATGAGATCGGATGGCTTTAAATGGCTTTGCAAATGAGTCCTAAATCTGGCCTACGCAATGACGGCTTTGTTGTGCTTTGTATTTTTACTCCTAACTTTATAAGAGAAATGTACAATTTATTTTAGCTTTCAAATTATACAGGAGGTGATGGCGAGGATGAGATCGGATTCGAAAAACAACTTCTAAATGGCGACAAAATAATACATAAAAAATAAATTATGGAAATTCCGGCAATATATTAGAGGAGAATAAGTTAAATTTCTTTTGGAGGTGATGATGTCAGCGATGGAAAGTGCCCTGACCGGTGATGAGGGCGGTGAGCAGACGAAGGTAATCTCCAGAGCAGGTCTAAAATTTTTGATTTCACTAAAGTTTTAATAATTTACCTGGCCGATGTCGACTTCTAGGGGGCGATGATATTTGCGCTTGTACTCCTCGACGATGTCGGCAAGATCGATCTAAAAAATAACATAACATAGGCTCATTTTAATAGCCAGAAACTTTGCATTTCCTAATTAGCCTCAATTCAAAACTCGACTTACTTCGCTTCTAGTCACGACAATTCGAATCACCGTAGCGTGATCGGGGCGATCTCCAGAAAGCGCCGTACGTAGCTGCTCGGCAAAGTACAACTGCTCATTTCGAGCCACACGCACTAAAGAATCTCAAATTAGCTATTTCCCAAGCGCTTACAGATCGTGAGGAACATCATGCGGATCTCGGAGTGAATATTCTTGTTTCGGCGGATCAGGGTTTCCAAGTCTTTCTCACGCTCTTTCAGGATCAGCTCGTCAGCCTGAACCAGTGACAAAAATTGATTAAATTTTATTGCAGGATATTTTATGAAAAGTTCCTAGCGATCTAGTAACATCTAGATACCCACCGCATCCAAAACAGCCGCAATATGACGCCAGGTATGCTGAACGAAGATCTCCTCAAAAAGCTGCAGATTTTTGGCCAATTCCTCGACGCTACTCTGCAAAAACACGAAGGTGTATTAGTCATGAGTGTGGAGTGGTAGATAGCTAGCAACACTGCTGCTTTGAAAAACCTCAAACCTTGGCTAGAAGTTCGGCTTGCTTCCCGATCAAATCCTCATCTACTCTTTTTCCATGATCGTCGCGAGGTTTGCAGAGTAGGCAAAAGAGCATACGACCGAAAATGCCTTCGACCTAAATATATATTTGTAAATACAGTATTGTTAGACCTACCTTCATCGTTAAATCCTTTTCAAGGGTTTTGCGAAAATCAGTGAGATAACTCTCACGGATAACCTTGAGCTGCTGCAAAAAATGGAGTTTACGAAATTCGGATGGAACTTACCTTTGTAGAGCGAGTCCCAGCGATCTCAACTGCAATAGAACGATCACCATATCGGTTCTAAAAATCGAATTCAGACGAAATTTGGTTTTTTCAGATTCAGACGAGATCAAGAAAATTAGAAGTTTTCCCTACCGAGATAGATTTGTACAGGAGTTGTGTATCATATTTATGAGCCGGCTTAAATAGAGCGAGCACCATGTCAAGGAAGAAGCCACCTGTTTCTTCTTCTAGATCATCCAATAGACTCTTAAACAAAAATCTATAAAAATAAGCTTAGTCCGTACCCTCTCATACATATCCTCATAAGCATTCAGGATTTTCTGCCGTTGAAAGTTGGAGTGATAGAGAACAGTGTCGATGATCATTTGCTCATTTGTATCTCAAACCGAAAAGTTTGAATAAATCAAAGTATCTAACCTATTCCTGACAACGCTTTGCGTAGCGTCTCGCTAGCCTGTACCGGGTAAAAATCCGGACTATCCGGACCGCAGATTGTACCTCGCAGATCGTCATACTAAAAACAGCTCTAAAAACCATGTCCAGGTTCTTACTTGACTTTCGTACATCTGATACATCATCGGCATGCTGAGCCGCTTCTTCCGGAAGTCCTCGCTTCGGATCGAATCAATTGATGAAGACGTGGACAGCGTCTACAACAGATTGGATAGGTCTTGCAAGCGGATGTCTTTCGCGTCGTCAGGGTTTCAGGTTGGGACCAAGCCTATGTTGTGCAGGATTTTGCGCTGATTCTGAATCTGTTTACCAAATTCGCGGAATAGCGATTTCCCGAAAGCTTTTGGGCCTTATGTCGTTGATAACTTTCGAAAAATCGCGATTTTCCTAATTCCGTAGACATATTCGCGATAAGCGCAAAATTATGCATATTGATCTCAACTTGAAATCCGGACGACATTAGGAAAACCTTGGAAAACTCAGGAAGCCAAAAAATACCGCAACACAGCGGGGAAACTTAGGAAAAACGTAATAACGACGTACTTGGCCAAAATCGATCGATTTTACCTTTTCTGTTTCGTGTTTGATTCGAAAGACAAAATAGAAAACTCCCTATATTAAAAGCTTCCGGCCACAAATACAATCCACGTCAAAGAAATCCAAAAAATAGACGCAATCGGCTTATATTGACAAAAAACAGCATCCGGCAGCACACGACAAACCCCCAAACAAGGCCACTTTTTTTCTAGCGATAACTTACTTTTCCCAAAATTTTAAGACGATGCCGTGGGAACATTATAACCAGATAACTCGCGCGGGGTAGTGAGAAAACGTGGCTGTGAGAGGGGGCAAGGCGCTTTGTTTTGGAAGGCGTCCGCCGGCCAGCCGCTCAAATCCCTAATCCTCTAATTGGGGGGCTCCCCCCGCACATCCCCTCTGGAGAAGAAGAAGAAGAAAGCCCCCACCGTTCACGCGTATATTAATTGCGCGCATTTTTGAGCCGAGGTAAGGGGCTTCCGAGAAGTACCAGCACCGCGACAAAACTTTGCGGATTCGCGGGAGGAGGAGGAGGGCTCGAGCAGAACAGAATGCGAATAGGGAAATTGAAACTGTCGGATAGGTGAATGAACGAAGCATTTTTAAGATTTAAAAATCATCAATGTTTAAGTTCGAAAGGAAAGGTTTTGAAAAAGGCCTTTGAAATACAATACCGCATAGTAATTTATAATCATCTAAAAACATATAAATAACCATAGAAAAATACTAAAAACTGATGAGAGCCATTCCATGTGCCCTAGCGTGTTAACTAGAGTATTACTAAAAAACCGACAGCGCGTGAGCAAGGCCAATCGATAAAACCATATTTTTGCCGTTTCCTAGAGCTAGTTAATAATGTGAACATACGCGGAAGCTCCCAACAAAAAAAATTCCACGCAACAATACTCCCTCAAAAATCAACCATGCAAATCATAAGCTATCCCCCCCCCAGTAACCTGCTCTTCAGCACTTCTACGACGGCGGAGTTTCCGTGCTTTTATGCGACGCAGTCGCATATACCGCTGAGCTCACTTCGTCACAACCGCCTATGAATAAACCTGTCCAACACAAATTACCACCAAAAAAAGAGGATGACACGATAGTGGCCGTTTTTCAGAAATGAAAAACGGATCTATCTTTGGGATGAGCGCATGAAAACACCGGAAATGCGCATTTAGTGACCAACGGGGATAGCCGTCGGCCAAAGCAGGCTTTTTATAGGGCCCGAGGATTACTACGTGGTGAGAAATCGACGCGGATCTATGAATTGTTTTCGAGAAATCTAGGAATTATAGGCCCTTAAGCTACTTTCGGTACTGGACTGTTAGCGGGGGAGGGTAGTCGGGAAAGTTAATTATTCCCAGTAATACTTTTTGAGTTCTTGGTAAAAATGTACGAAAATGACCAAAAAAGATTAAAATTTGGACTTTTAAAAATATTTTAAATATTCGTGTATTTTTATAGCAAGCAAAAACTACGAAAAAATTATATAAAAACAGTTATAAATATTAACGGGTAGGTAGAGACGGAAAAGTAATTTTCGCCTGCTAAAAATCCTCCCTGCTAGCAGTACCCTACTCTCCATAAGTTTTTTCTTAAAAATCTCTCGATTCGACATCTCCTCCAGCTCCTATTTTTTGCCAAAAAATTTTCCTAGCCGCTCCTAAGCCGGTGCTACGGTATTCATTAAGCCGGAAAATCCGCTTCAAATCCGCGCTAGATGAATATTCACAGAATCCGCATATTTTTTGGTTCCCGCCGTACAATGGGAAGCAGATTAGCGCTACAACGGCACGAGGTATCTTGGCTCTTTGTTGACCGCAACCGCAGGAATAGAATTTGGATAAAGCCACACTAACGAGATTATGCCACGGAGAGAACGTGATTCTGGCCGGTGAACGCTAAAAGATCAAGAGACCTATGGACGACCCCGATCTTGTTTTCCTGGGCAGCCATATCTCGAAAGAATATCGAAAGATAAAAGACGCGCCGCGGAAGGATTATTAGATGAAGACTTACAAAACAATATACGCATCAACGGGTATTACGCAGAGCTGACTATCACCTAATAAAATGCACTCAAGTGCACAGATGAGATTTAGGAGATTGGGGGAGGGGAGCTGTCGAAAGTGGTCTGAAATTCTTGGACCGGTTAGTCGGAAGCTAGAAAAGAATCTGGACTAGACCTACTATACCTCCGACCGGAAGCTCCCAAAACTTTTGAAACTACCCGTGGGTCCTAGGTCCCAGCTATCATCCCTGGCGCGGAATTTCGAAAAAAATATATATTTAAATTGATACCAGCAGATCAGTGGGAACAGGTTTTCCGGATTTGCATTTTTTTGCTGTAACTTTTTTAAGTTTACATTATTTCGGACTAAAACAGAAACTCTTGCTATATTTTTCGACGCTCTACCAAATAGCGTTAACGAAGTTGTGCGAAAAATCCCGAAAATGTCGAATTGCTTTCCGGTATACGTTCTTATGTGGAAATCCTGTGGCATCCTGCTCCAATTTTCTGTTTTAGATCATTTTAAAAAGAAATTAAGGCACTGAGTATGTTTTTTGATACTCTATCGAACGGTCTTTTCGAAATTTCGAAAATTTGGCGTCCAAAAAACCCGTCCAGTCACCTGAAAAGCTAGCGAAACATCGTAAATTTCGGGACCTTCGGCTGGGGATAAATGAAGTCTTAACAAGATCCTGGGTTCACTCTGGTCGTAATAAAATGTCGCATGCTATCGTGTCATCAAACATTCAAAGGTGGGAGGTATGAAATCCATCATTGTACCATTGGGAATGCGTAGTAACTGGCCTAAAAGTTGGCTCGGAGCCTAGGGGGACGATCGCCAAAAGATGTGGTGGAAGTGGGGGAAGGAGGGCTTGGCACGACATGGTGGAAATATTAATGAGAACCATAACCCATGATAGCTCAGGCTTGGCCGGAAGAAAATAAAGGAAAGCCGGGGGGAGCGCAACTAGCCGCCAACAACTTGCACAAACGTGCAATTAAGGGGGGTTGGGTCGAAAAAGGTAGGTTTAAAATGTCAGTGGGCCAGAGAGAAAAAGGTAAAGTTGAATGACTTTTAAAAAACCTTGGAACTTTCTACGGAATTCGGTTCTTAAGATTTTTGGGGGATGTAGAAGCTTCTTCGACAGAACCTTACAAGCAGACGTTTTTGCGTGTCCACGCAGTTTCGAAATGGGACTAAGCCTATTTTGCGCAGAATTTTCCGCAGATCAAAACATACGTTTCAAAAGCTAAGTAACGACCGTATTTGGAAAATTGCGAAGCGTTAAAGTGCGAAAAAAACGTGTCTGGCAGCTTTTCGCCCTTTCAAGCTTGATAAATTTCTGATTGTGGGCGTTTTCTAGATTTTAAAAACTACGTTTCAATTGGCACAAATTCTGCACAATTGCAATATTTACTAACGAAATTATTTTATTAAAAGATTAGGTTTCAGTCGAGAAATTTATTCTTCCGATCCAAAACGACCAAACTCCGAATTTTGAAGTGGCTTAATTACTTTGAAAAGTTTTTCTACTTCGATATCGCTAAAATTGACCAAAAACAACGAGTTATCTCGGTTTACCGGAAAATATTTGGAATTCAGAACCAACCTTTGTCTTCACAATCCCAAAAACATCTCCAGGCGGCCCCGCCACCTCAACCTGCTTGAACACGTCGTCTTCTTCGCCCATCTTTTCGGATGAGAACTGGATATCACTAGTTTTTATACTGGGTGATGAAGATGTAGAAATAAAAGAAAATAAGAAAAGAACATTAATATCTCACCAAAACAATAAACACAACACAGGACACGAAATAACGGAAGTGCCAATCAGCGCGAAATAGCGCCTCCCCCGGATCCTAGGCATGGCAAGAAGCCCTTCACGTTGTGCCAATCTAGCCCCCGCCGGGAAAATGAGTTCAAACTTGGCCTCGCCCACCCGAAGCTGATCATTTTTGGGGTGGAGGGTAGAATGCCAGGGGGGTCGGGGCTGAGTAATGCAGGGATTCTTCCCCCTGGCCAAACCGAAAAATGCTCTCTGGCGGTCTACGATAGAGGCGAACTGGGGATTTACCGAAATTCCGGGGCAGCTCATCCAGCTCAACCAGGGTCTGGGCAAGGAATTTTTTGCTTATTATTGAGAGTGGGGGGCTTGAGGTGGGGATGTCTGTGGGTGGCTGAGTGCGTCAAATCTGGGTTTGGGTATTGTGAGGATTGTCTTGAGAGTTTCAAGGATTGGTGATACAGTGGAGAAGAAAGATAGGGTGTAGAGAAAAAAATATCTAATTCTGACTTGGATGACAGCGAAAGCCGGTCAGAAACCCTTTTTGAAAATTTAAAAATCTCCAAAAATTTTAAGGGAGCTGTCAAGGAAATTTTTCAAAATTTCGATGTTGTTAAGCGCAGGCAAAAATGGCAACAACTTTTAGAAGACAGCGGTTGTCTAGAATTTCAAGCTCTATCGAATGAGCTATGCAGATGACACGCAAAACGCCATAACGGCTCTAAAATCCAGCCCCTGTAAAATGCAATTCCGCCAGAAGATGCAAATATCAAGAACTTGCTGAAAAAATGTTAGAAACCCAGCGGTCGTAACGGAGAAATACTATGCCGACGGTCTTTGCAAATCAGGATTCCTGTTATTTACGACATAATCCGCCACAACGCTATTTTTTGGACGCCGTATTGCACCAAAAAAAATCGTTTTTGAGGTAAAATTTCAGTTTTGTGATGTGGGAAAAACTAAAAAATCAAGGCTCTAGATCGCGCGTCGGCCTAGCCAACTCAACTAGACCACCCCTAGTCGGGCTCTCGTTTTGGTCGTCTCCATGTGACCGAGCCATCCCCCTCAACACAATACACCCCAATCCCCCGGATTTGCTTACGTAGGCACCGGTCGGGGTGAGCGATAAGTCCGACCGTGAAATCGGGGTGCGTATGGCCCATCTTTCGTCTTTATTCCGCCGCCAAGAATCCAACAATTAGAAATTTCAACAACACACTGATCTAATGCACATAAATACCGTATTTTCTCTAATATAAGGCGTATGATAGAAGGGACCTGATATTTTAAGAGAAATAGCTGAGCATCCGAAAATAGGAGGTAAAATGATAAGTAATTCAAATCCAGGTGTCCCAAAAAACCCCCCTCGGGATTTAACCGTAATCAGACCGTTCAGAAAATAGGGCCAGACGTGTATTCAAACCTAAATAACAACAATCCTGAGTTACAGCTGAATCGCTACAGTAGTTTTGAATCAGCGCGAAAAAAATCCTATTTTTCCAAGCTTTCGAAGCAATTTTTTGGCTCTCTATTTGGGCTTTCCATCAATTTGCATCGACTTCCGATTGTAAATCCCTAATTCCGCTTAGGATCTAAGGTGATTTTGCGTTGTAAAAATCGTTTAAATCAACGTTTATCTAGCTGATTTTTGTCCGGAAAAAAATTTATTAGGTTACAGAAAGCTTTTCGCATAATTTTCGCCTAATATTTAAAGGCTTATGTCCCGGAAGCCCTCTTAAAATGTAAAATAAAGTTTATTTGTCACTGCTGTAATAAAACTCAGAACCACTGTCCTTACGCGGTTGTAAATCAGGATTATTGTTATTTTTCGTCTAATAAACCTCTGGTACAAGTTCGTGAACGAACGGATGTAAGCCGGCCAAATTCCGAATGACTCGCTTTTCGGGGCGCCCTGTACTGATACTAGAGATAATACGGTAACCAATAAATTGAGATCTTGAGCGCTTATTCGGCGAGGCGTTGGTACACCTCGAGTTCGGTGTCACTCAGCTTCTTGAATTTTTTGGTGAGCTTCTTCGTGCGTTTTTCTGGCTCCAGATCAGTATACCTAAAAAAGAGACCTAGTAGAGGTGAGCACCACTCACTGATCACGATATGCATGGCAAAAAGCTTCATAGGGTGTCTCGAAAAATGGTACCCTGGCCGCTGGCTTCTTCTTGATGGGAGTTCCCTAAAATTAAATTACTCATTAGTGAAATGAAAACAACCTTGGGAGCTTTTTGTTGGAGTCTGCCGAGCTTTTCGTACTTGGCGATCGTCTTCTGAATAAATTGCAGCTGCTCGTCGCTGAGATTGTCGTGTAGCTCACGAAATTCTTTGACTTCCTGGACATATCTGAAAATTTCAATACATAAATATATTTGTAATATCAAGATACCTCTGATTGGCCTCCACAACTTCAGCTTCAGCTTCAGCCCTTCCGTCGGCATCTCCGTTAATTGCGGCAGTTAACTCCTGGAAAAAAATCGTTATTTTTATAAATTTATATATGATTTATTATTTTAGATTTTTTTTTGGTTTTATTATATTATTTATACATTTATATATAATAACCTACCGAAAATCCGCTGCCGAATCCTAATTTGATGCCATTATTCTTTGCATATGTGCGCTGAAAGTTGAGAGGCGGCTTAGGCCAATCCGGGTACTCGCGCACTGTCTCGCCCCTAGAAATAAGTGTTTTATTATCAAGCTTTCTTAAAAATACATAATACTTTAATGATTTGCTTAAAAATAATAAAATACTTAAAAAATTACTTCTGTAGGTAGTGTTGTAAAATGTTGCAACAATGGCCGATGGACAGGTTGGTGGATCGTAGGGCAATGCGAAGATAGTGGTCGAGGCATTTCGCCCATTTGCTAAAGATTTTTGTTGTTGATATCTGGTACTGGTTGATTAGCCGGGGGGTAACATCCCAGATTGTCGATATTTTCTCTTTCTCAAATTCTCGAGTTTTTTTATTATTTTTCGGAATTGTTTCAACGCAATCTGATAGAGCATAAAAATATGCTAAAGTTGAAACCAGTTGTCGTCCTTTTCGCAATTTTTTTTCAAATTCTGTTAGCGCCATTCGATAGCGCATCAAAAATATGTTCAGAGTGTTTAATTACGCCTGAATATAACGCAAGCTCAAAAAGTTATAGCTAAAGCGAGAATAACCCTTAAAATGGGTGACTCCGACTCCCGTTCCCCCCCCCGCTAACAGACCAGAAACAAGCTTCTTACCCAGGATCTTCGATACCCTTATGGGCAAAGTATTCGGTGGCGGATTTCTTGAAGTGCTTGGCCGACGAGGTGCTCTTTTTGTTCTTTTTCATATATTCGATCATTGGCTGGAAAATTGGGTTTTTCATCGCCCATGATTTTAACCAAACTCATGCTATTTAAGGGTATGATTAGTATAGTTGATACCAAATTTGACCAACCTGAATATGCTGTTGTAGATAAGAGATCGGGACCAATTCGCCTTCGAAATCCGGCAATTCCGGCTGCCCATTCTCCCAATCGCCCCCTGCGTCACTACCCGCCTCCCCGTCATCCGAATTATCGTCCTTGAACCTCTAAATTTCAATATGTATTTGGATCGTATGCGAATCCCACGACTAAGGATGTTTTTGGACTAACCTTGGCAGCTGGTTGCGAGAAATATTGGTAGATTTTGCGGTCTTTCTTCGGGCTGGACGTTGAAGACATACTAAAATGTAAAAAAATTCTACGATTAACTTTACACTACGTATTTAGTGAGGTATATTAACAATTTTTCGAAGCTTTCTTTGACGATCTAGCGGCCTTATCGTTAAATTGCTATATATTAATCAAAACATAGCTGGCAATGGCCGGGTAATAAACATCTAATTGAATTGCAATTTTTCCAAAATTTAAATACAAATTATATAGCCAAATGAAGGAAGTATCAGTGGTTGATTCTAATTATATTCCCAAGGGCAATAAAAGCTACAAAGCCCAAAGAAGGCTGCGGTATCGCTGGGGGGAATGGTTTGAATGCGAGCCGCGTGGGCTGTTAGTGTATGTTTTTGGGGTGTGGTTAGGCGCGGCGCGTAGCTGTCAACAGGGCCGGAAATTGCCAGCTGAACCGCAATATTGGCATCTGCGGATCAAAATATAGGTCAACAAAAAATCAATGCGTAAGAGGTTGCAAATTTTATATTGTTTCATTCTAGACAGGTAGCCCGAAGAGAGAGGCAGAGCTAGAGAGAGAGAGAGAGAGAGAGAGAGAGAGAGAGAGAGAGGAGAAGGGATGTTTGGTGTTTGCATCTGCTGATGAAAAAAAAAATAGGTCAACAAAAGTCGATGATTAAAACGAGGTGAAGTAGTATTTTGTTCAATTCTAGTCAGTTAGAGAGAGAGAGAGAGAGAGAGAGAGATAGTGAGAGAGATAGTGAGAGAGACTTCCAAAGATCCCGTCGACCTCATAACGTGCTTGAATATGACTTTTTCTTGTCACGTTTTCTCTGTCTACAGAAGTACAGTTTATTTCCAAGGCACCCGGATTCGTGAACAATAACACCGCAATTTTGGCTAGCACCGTTCGAAGATAATACAAAAAAAAAGATTTCAAAGTGAGAATTCGGGTATCAGGACCATCAGTCCGATGCGATGCCAGCGGTCAACTTTGTTTTGAGCAATAATACATATGAGCAATTAGAGATTGGTTGAACCGGAAAAGAGTAGATTATAGCATTTCCTTTTCAGTGTATGGGTTAACAGAGAGTGAGGATTTGAGGATAAGCGGCCGGCCGTTTTGCGTCTCCGACTCCAACGTCGAGGCGAACGGGACCGTCGAGGTGAACGTTTGTCGCCGGCTGCTTCTGAAAAGTAAATATTTATAGATGGTTAGGGTTTAGGCTTCTGCTTAGACTTAGGCTTTGGTATAGGCTTAGGCTTTGGTTTCGGCTTCTGCTGCGGCTTAAGCTTAACCTTAGACGTTGGCGTAGGCGTATGCTTCGGTTCGGCTTAGACTGAAGCTTAGGCGTAGGCTTAGGCTGAGTCTTGGACTTAAGCTCGGGCCAAAGCTTAGGCTTCGGCTTAGGATTAGGCTTATCCATGAATTTTATTATTTTAACACTTACGCTAGCACCGATTTGGAGCTGAACGACGAGTTGGCCTTGCTGCTCCGCCGCGACCGGGTCGACCGGCGAAGGCTGGAGATGCTGTTGGCGAACGATGTCACCTGAAAAACATTTCGTGAACTTTGGCGATCCATCAAGATATTTATCGGGAAAAGCCATGCCACACGTTTCTAGAGCCCAGAAAATGGCAAGCAATTCTCGCGCGCAACCCAGGATGCTCAATTTGCTTTTGGAAATTCACAACAATTCGGAATTTTTTTAAGAACTTCAAGCCTTGAAACGGAGGAACAGATTTTAAATTGAATTTAGGGTAATTTAAGGTGAAAAAGTCCGTTCTTCCGTTACTTCCGGCACGCACTCTGTGCAGCAGCGACCCAATCGGGTTCGGCGGATTGCCCGCGGCCTCATGCTCCTCGCCGAATTTCAGGAGACGACCACCCAATTGGCCCAGCTAGATGGAGCAACAAGATTTTGTTTTGTTGTTTTGTAGTTCCGGGTCTTGGAATGAACAACGATTAGGGGTGATGCGCAACATTCTGCAGTCCTGAGAAGGGATAGGAGAGAAGCCCGGAAAACCCGAAAATCTGGTACATTCGGGTCCAGTGGTAATTTGTAGAGTTTGGGCGTCCGTGCGTTCGAGCAAATATTGACATTTTGAAAAACTAAACATTTGAGAAATTAATTAATTTATTTTTTGGAAAAAGAACCTTCAAATTTCAATTGAAATTTTTAACACCAAATTTCAATTTCAAAAATTTGCTCAAAAACCCGAACTCTCAACCGATCCAAATCACCGGGTCCATTAGGGAGGAAAAGCTAGGGATAGAAACGGGTCTACATAGACGGACCGATAGTCTCGGCCCGGGGTACCGAAGGGGCCCGTTGCGGGACCCACTTCACCTCGGCTACGGTCAATCGGGGGCCCAGTGGGGTGTGGGGCCGCGGGGGCCCCTCACCCATCATCACCGAATTGCAACGACTTCGCTGAATTTTATTGCTGATTTGGGGGACGTTTAAGAAGGGAACCTGTCCGTTTCTCGAAAATTAGAATCTTGAAAACCTGATTCCAAAAATCCAAATCTCGACAATCAGATTTTGGTCGAAGCTAGCAAAATCCAAAATTCTAAAAATTCGAGATATTGACAATTCTAGATTTTAATTGTCAAGACTTTAATAGCCAGTCTTTTAAAAACGGAAATATAGAAAAGATTGATCCACTTTCAAAAGAAAATCGTAAAAAGTTTAAAAAATCTGAGCTTACAATTTCTGACGTGTTGATGATCCGGCTCAGGTTAAGCCGTTTCTGCTTTCTCGTCAGCCAGAAGAAGAGTAGTGGATTCCACAATACTAAAAACAAAAATACATCCAATTTTCCAATACCCACCTATCGACATGGCTATCACGTGAGCGACCAGGGGCCAGAAGAAGGGTTGATACTTTAGGAACGAAGGTTCGCTCTCTGAATCAAAAATAATGGAACTTTTTAGGTTGTTTACTGTAATCCTTCAGGATATTGACAGCAGTTAGTGGTAGCCAACAGGCGATGAATGTGACGACCATTCCGATGAGAATATAGTTGACCTAAAATAATTTTATAAACTATCTAGGCCCTTAGGAATAAATACAAAAATTTGCTTTGTTATTACATACCCGTTTCTTGCGATTCAAAGCATCCAGACGTTGTTTTTGGCTGAGCGAATGGCAGAATTGCGCATTTTGCACAATCGAATCCTTGGCGACCTTGTTCAAAATCCGGAAGTAGCAATAGGAGATGATCAACATCGGGACGACAAACTACAAAAATAAATTGGTAATTTTATGGAATATACCTGTAGCAACATAACGATAGTTCCATAAAGCTTTCTCGAATTCTCGCTCTCCCAGTTTGTCTCGTCACAAAAATTCCCGCAAATCGGGATATCGCCCTTTGGAGAATAATAGCTGCCATCGACGAGGGCAAAGCTGAAATATGCATTTATTAAGTTATAAAATAATGCTTACCTCAAGAAATATGGATAGTTGATGAGCGTGCTCAAAGACCAGATGAAAAATGTGATACAGCAGGCTTGCTTTTTCTGAATAAAAAGGATTAGCTCTAATAATGATAACCTACCGATACTGGGGCCTTCGTTGGATCGATAATATGCAAAAATTTGTCAATCGAAATTGCAGTGAGACTCCAGCTGGTGACAAACACCGAGCACGAGTTGCTCAACGGCATCAGGTGGCACATGGCTGACCCGAATTGCCAGTCCTTGGTTAGGGCGTACCTAAAAAAGCAGTTATTAACCGATATATAAAAATAAAATTTACCATGGTGTCACTGGTACGGCGGTGAGCACGAGGAGGAGATCGGTGATGATGAGGTTGAGGAGGAAAATGTTGCGCGCCGAGCGGAGCCTTCGATTTCCGCACATGGCAAGAATGACGCCACCGTTGCCGAAAAGGCCTGACAGGGTGGGTTTTATAAAAATTATTTGATTTAAAAACGTTTAAAGCTCGATAAAGCCAAAGTCGTGATAAAAAGGGCATAAAATAAATTTTCTAAAACCCACCAAACAAAAACAAAAAGCTGTACAACATGATGAACACCGTCTTGACGTAGACATCTCTGAAATTAAAAAAATCGAAAAAGTTCCATGATTTTTACGTCCCGTTTTTACTTCCTCTTCACCCCGGAACGAACTTTGCGCTGTACCCCCAAAATACCCCGACTTCCCTCCCGGCTGTCTATAGCTATAGGTCTCAAGCCCCCCCGGTGAGCCTTCCATGTAACCGGATCACGAAAAAACAGCCCTAGGTGTGCCGGTCAGTTTGTGCGACTGGTGGCGCTTCAACGAGGATTAGTGCATTTTCCCCTCGTTGTTAGACACACGCACACTAACAGACACAGCTGTGTGGTCGCCTACCAACTACCAGGAAATTAGAAACAGATCCACGTGGAGAGAGAGGGGCGAGAGAGAGAGAGAGAGAGAGAGAGTGAGAAACGAGCCTCAAGAAAACAGCGTCACTGGCGCTTTTCCAAATTTGGTGAGTAGATGGGTTAAATTGAGCTAAAATGGAGAGAGAAAGAGAGAGAGAGAGAGAGAGAGAGAGAGAGAGAGAGAGAGCGTGAGAGGAAGACAGTAAGTGTGATTTGAGCTAGTTTCACTTCCATCATTATTACACCAAAATTCTAATCCGTTTCTAATTTTAGGATTATTTAAATGCTAATATTTAAATATTTTTAGCAACCAGGTGAGATGATTGTTATAGGCTGCCTTTTAAGCCGTTTAATGAGACCTAGGCGTCAAAAAATAGGACTGACTGACTGACTCATGGATTTTCTTTTTTAAATTTCTTGAAGTTATGGGTATATTTATATTTTTTACTGGGGCTTTTTTGTGAAGAAAACAGATTTAATAAATATTAAATGAATGGAAATTTCTCAATCTAGCTTCAAGTCCTGTTAAAAACCTACCCAGTAACGTCATCGATTCCATGCCTTGTTTTTATCGCGACCTGCATCGGGACACATGTCCCGTTCCACGCATCGCCCATAGTGGGGCCTGCAAAAATTTCAATAATTAATTTTTATTGTTTAAATCGTAGCCAAAAAATCCGGAGAGAGCAGGTAATAAACTACACAATAACCTTCTGGCTTTGTTAAAGGTTAAGATGACCTTGAGCATAAATATTGTGTCATGGCAAAGCGCCGGAACACACAACGCATACACAGCAGTTCAGATCCGCCGCGCAAAACATAATAATTAACATCGAAGAACAGGAAGTCTTCCCTCTGGCCTATGATTAAAGCCGCCTCCTCGCAAAAACAAAGTTTTTCACGCAAAGTTTCTGCGTCTTTTCAGATTTCCTGGATGGGGAATTGGCGCAAAGATCAAGGCGCGGATTCATCGCATTTTTGGTGGAGGTGAAAGATATTCCTTTCTCTAGCAGGGATGAGCAAAAAGAGCTGCAACTAGCCGCGTAATGAGGTGCATAAAGGAGGGTGAGGGTGGGCGAGGATTGCCAAAATAATATAGGATCTTGAACTTGATGGTGATTCACATAAAAGTTGTCAACCCTTTAAGTAAGTTAAATTTAAATCTTAACGGAGCTTGTTTATTAAGAGTGCGGGTTAATAATCAGTGAACGCTGTTTATGAATTTGAATCTAATAAATACATGAAAAATAGTTACAACTAGGTTTAGTTTTTTTGTTAAAAACATTCGAGCTTATTTCATTGATATTTATTTATAGTTTGTCGATTAGTATTGGGCTTTTATTCCCATAAATTTCAACTTTATTATCCAAAGCGTATTTGCCATTCAAAGAAACCTGTAACCCAGAATAACCCCCGGGAAAACAACCCAAAAAAAACAGAATCTAGCCCCCTCCCCCCCACCTTGCATTAACAAGTGTGGATGTTTAGGGGCTGTGGAGGAGGAAAGATTAGCATCCATGTGAGCGTGGGGGGGGGTCTCTACCCCCCTAACGGACCTCCTTCCTCCCGGTCTTCCACAGCTTCTGAATTATTCGCCCGGCCATTGTGAGGCCAAGTTTAGCGGGTGCTCAAGGAGGGACCCGGCCACTCGAATGGGCCCCTGCGAAGGGGGAAATTGGCATTTGGAATTGAAGAACTGGGATTTTTGTTAAGAAATCGATTGATCGATAACGGCGTCTTAAAGAGAATATGTAAGTCCCAATCCCGATACAAAACCATGGTTCTTTGGCATTATCGGGACCCACGTATCAGGGACCCACATTTTTTGCATAACCCAAAATAAATTCTAACGTAATTTATACAATTTAAAAATTTAGTTTGCAATAATTTTAAAATTCCCTTCAATCTAAAAACATCTTTAATAGCAAACGTAAAAACAGTTCTGAAACGTTTCCTAGAAAATGAATGGTAAAATTCGTAAAATGGGCCGATGAAAAAATGGTAAACCTATGCCAAAAACTATATTATAAGTTTTGATGTGATATTGCTTGCATCCTAGTGCAAAGCATTTTTGCAATTTCAAAAAAAAAATACATACAGCTTGGCCGGGACCACAGAAAATCGAAAATTCGGGCACCACACTTGGCACGCGATTTGCGCTGGTTCGGCTCCAACTTTTCGGGGTTTGAACATGCGCTGTCAACAAAATAGAAAAACGCAAAGTGCACGTGGGTTTTTAAAGGGGTGGTGACAGGAGAGATGTAGAGAGAGAGAGAGAGCGAGAGAGAGAGAGAGTGAGAGAGAGAGCGATAGAGATTTGCGAAAATAGACGCCTTTAAAAAAACTTCCATGGTATCTCTCCGAGAATATTTTTAGAGCCGGAACAAAAGAAGTAAGTCGGTCGCTCCTCAATCATCGTAGACCCCCCAGGTGACAAGATGATGGGCCCTTGGTGACGCTTTTCTGGTCAACCTCCGCCGCTGGGCCTTAACCCCCCCACCTAACCCTGGGCCCGAACACACCGGCGGCGATGTGATGGCTGAATTAGGAGAGAGAGAGAGATGCCCATGTAATTGGCCAGTCATTCGGTTCCACCTTGAAAAGTAAAAATATTTGTGTCTAGAGCCCTTAAAGGAATCGTGAAACCTCAGATTTTTTGAAAGTCGGACCCTTAATTGATTTCTTAAAATTAAGTTTATAAAACATAGAATCTAGCCCTTAATAACAAAACCGACAGACGCCGACGCCGACAGACCAAACTCTTTTTTTCAATCCCAAACATCGAACCAATTCCCGGATTACCCGGGAATTCGCCCCACTCCCTCTTCCGGTCCGACAACGAATCCGGGATTCAATAAATTTTTTGAGGGTTTTTAAGCTTTAACTTTTCTAGACGAAAACCGCAAAAAAACGGGGCGGTGACTTTTTGATTCCCCCTCCTCGACTTCTCCGTCTCAGTGACTACGTGGGTGTGCAACGAGCCGTGAGAATCGGCAAAGAAAATCGACAAACGAATATCTGGGGGGCCGAGTCAGATTTTTGAGGGCGGCATAGAGGGGATTATGAAGATATCGAGGAGTCGTGAAATCGGAAAGTGAATCCAATTATAGGCTGGCATTACGCAAATACACCGGGTGACACGATGGAGGGCAATTGTTTGTCTGGTGTTGTCATTAATGTGTCGGGAGAATGGGTTTTTAGGAATTTTTCTAGAGTTTTTATGGGGTAACTTAATTGTTACAGAGTTTGGGTCAAATAATAGTGCTAAAGTCGAATTTTAGGCAGCTATTGGTGCGTCTAAAATGCGCTTATCGTTCTTTCCCTACTGCACCTAGTAAGTTCACGTTTTACAAATATTTTTATTTAAATATAACTACCGGGTGCCGATTTTAAGCTAATATCGTAAATTAAATTTAATTAAGTTTAAAAATTACCAAATAAAATATGCTATGAAATTTGCAAGCAAGGCGTCTAGAAATGCCTCCTACTACTCTCATTAATGCGCCTAGAAATCTGTGGCCCTGTCAAAAACCCTCTAGAAAGTCTAGTTTTTCCTAACGACATTTTCCTCACTAGAACCCGATTTTTGAGACGTGCCATGACACACATTCAGCTACACGACGCTCCTCCTCGAAGGCGTGTAAAAAATAGCGTGCACCACACGGCGCGGTTGAGCGGCCAGCGAGAGTTGGTTCAGACGTGGTGCCGTCGGGATTTCCGTCCGGGGGGCCCAACCCTCGAAACACGCGAATTTTGATTCGTAAGAGGGTGGGTGAAGAGGTGCTACTCGACTTTTCAGAAAAGGAGGGGGAAGGCATAGGCATCGCGTAAGGTGGGAAGGACGGGAGGTGTTTTGAAGGGAGTTTGGGCCGGGTGTCGTACTAACTGAAGACGTCGTAAATTTGAAGATTGCGTGATTGGCATTAGTAGTGTGGTGGAATTATGCTAGATTTGAGGCTTTTAAAACCTACAAATACGTAAATTATAGGTTATCAAATGGTTTGAACGTCTAAAAAAGACCAGAAATTTCTAAATTTTTACTGCTAGAAGTTCTTTCGTCAAATTCGACTTGAAATAGTTTTTAAAAAATTAAAAAACATGAAAATCCGAGCGAAGTGGAATTTTTCTGGATTAAAGTTCGTTTCTAAAATCTTTAAAAACTAACGAAATTAAATGTCAAGGTCGTTCAGGCGTCTCAAAATCTAGTTGCCCGTTTCCAAGTTTTCTCAACTACACCAGGCTTCCTGGCCCCTTTAAAAAGCGCCGCCTTAAACTAACCATTTCTTTAAGGGCATAAAAACCCCCAAAACCTCAAAAACACGAATCTGAATTGGCACGCTCCACGACAATACCCCCCAAACACCCAGCCGTTATGGCTAGCAGACAAAAAGAAGCCGCTAACGAACCGGCGGGTGTTGCCGGACACAAAAACACAAATTCTAAACCACAGACCCGAAATTTGGGGCCCATTGTCTTGAAAATGTGAGCGAAAAAATAGAAATTTTTTTGGCAATAGTGTAGTTTCAAAATTCTTGATTTTAGATAGATTTTAATGCAATTTGAACAAGTTTGGGAGCTAATAAATTACGTCGTTCCCTTGCTAATACTGTACTTGAAAATCCCCAATTTTGAGTCTATTTTAATACATTTTAGTGCAATTTCGAAACATGCGGAAGCTAATAAAAAAGTAGCTGTTCGGTTAGAGCAATTTGTGGGGTGGGAGAAAAATAAGCTTTGTGCGGGGCTTTCGGGCGGCCAAGGTCGCGCTGTTTTTAGGCTCTATGTGAGTTTTTTTGGAACTTCCGGTGCTATACTCTGACCACAGCACTTGTTAATGGGTGTAGAATGGAACCTGTTGTTCACGGGTTTTTGGGAATTTAATTAAGCGCATTAATGTTAAAATTAAAAAATTTAAAATGGCTCGAAAGCGCAAAATCCTAGCCTTGAAAAATTTGTGTAAATGATCAGGTAGGAAAATTCTTTTTAGTATATAAAGGATCTATTTAAGTCCGAAGTTAAGACAATGCATCCCAGCCAAGATCGTAGTCTTTCAAAAGTGCTTGTACCCCATCCCAGACACGCGCAAATAACATTAAAAATGGACAACATTGGGCGGGATGAGAGGCTTGGCGAGCAGGTCAGACGTGTCAGACGGCAGTGTCGTTACCCCCCGAAGGAAGGCACGCGCCGAAAAAGACCAGAAAAGCCCAAAAAGAACCCAAGAAAGCTGTTTCCTGTCCAAACGAGCCGACTGAACGATGGAAGACCAAAAATGAGATGACGAACGAGGTTTCGGAGGGCGTCAGAAATCTGTTAAAGCTTTGGTTTGGCTTAGGCTTAGGTTTGAGTACGGGTTAAGCGTAGGCTTATGCGTAGGCCTAATCGTAGGTTTTGCTTAGGCTTAGACCAGGCTTGGCTTGGGCTTGGGATTAGGCTTACGCTTACGCGTAGGCTTGGGCCCTGGGTTAAGTTTCGGCGAAACTTAGGCTTCGGGTTGCTTAGGCTCACGCTTGGGCTTAGGCTTAGGCTTGGGCTTAGGATTAAACTTGGGCTTAGACATAGGCATAGGCTTGGGCTTGGGCATCGGCTTAGGCTTGGGCTTGGGCTTTGGCTTAGC